TGCGTTGTCACTTGTGTGAACTAAGATGGAATGCTTCTTTTCCAGTAAAATGGGTCTCCAGTTCACTACACTCACCATACGAAACACGGTAGTGTTAAGCTGCTATTTAACGCTGGTATTCTGCGAGAGCGTGGTCCTCCCCGGTTGAGCCGATCCATTCGTGCTACAACTAGTAGTATGTAAATAAATATAGTAATATAGATGCAGCAGGGCTCTACCTCATATAACAAAATATACCATATAATATACTAGCTGTGCCCCGCGGTTTCACCCGCGTCATCACGTGTCAGAGGTGCACGACATGACCTAGTTCAAGCATTTTATAATTGCAATTAAATATTTTATTTGATAGCAACAGATGGAAAAATTGGCATAATTAATGGAGTACTTTTATCTGTCGGCATATTATGTATGATGTAGAGCGTAGTTAAGTTTTATCCACTTTTCCTCCCCCTCCTGGTTCAGCAATTCTCGCAGTTCTCACCGGGCGGATAGGGTTTATGTGTCGTTCGCGCACCCAGCCAAGTATTGAATTATTTTAATTTTACATTATTTCTTAAACTATGCGTCCAAATAACATGGTATAAAGAACAAAGTTTATCGTCATAAAATTGTCTTGATGATGAAGTAACTTTCGTTCGTAAGGATAAATAGGCCATGCCTAATAATAACGCTCATAAATTACTTTTAAATTTTCAATATTTTTTGTCGCAAAATACCTAATTATGGCTTATGTATATGAAATAGACATATGGTATCGTGGACTTTTTTTAGACGGAGTAAAGATCTATATTTTTCTAGAACATTGTATTTACGTATCCCTGACAATAACACCAGCGTACGCAGATAAATCATTTCGGGAGTGCTTTTTCTACTGACTTGCTTAACAAATACCTATATTTAAGGCTATAGAATGATATAGCTTAATTCTAGATAGCCTATACTATTCCACATAAATAAATTTATAATATACAAAGAGAATTTTCCAAATCGGACTGGTAGTTCCAGAGATTAGCATGTTTAAACAAACAAAAAAAGCTCTTCCGCTTTATTATATTAGTATAGATATATATGAAAAGGGCTATTATGCTGATTACAATCGGTGTTTGGAAACATTTCTTTTTAGTACCATGCTAACATATGAATCCATGCATTCATCTTTCATGAACTACACAAGATTACCCATTACTACTTTTCACATGATGTTTTGCATACACATTGCAATACACAAAACATTGTTAATGGAAATAAAATAAAATAAATACGGAAATCACTAGTATAAATGATGTTCAAGAAGAGTTCCTCCTAAATATTATAATTGTGGTCTCTAGTTTTACATCACAGTTCTGATATTTTATTAAATTAACAGTAATGTTTAATAGTTAAATCTACACACTATAGTTTTCCTAAATGTATGTCTCAGGCATATGGATGCCACCAGTTTATTTTTATAAAACTGAAGAGGCAAAGAAACTAATCATGGACCTAATTTAAACAAAGAAATAAGTAGGAATGCCTCACCCTATAATAATACCATAACACTGTCTCTCTCTATCCTTCAGACAACACAGCAGTTACCTCTATTTGGCTAATATAGTAGCACAAATGGGTCGGCTCGACCGCGGAAGGACCCTGCTCTCACAGAATACCAGTGTAAAATAGCAGCTTAATGCTGCTGTGTTTTGTATGGTGAGTGTAGAGAACCGGAGACCCATTTTACTAGAAAAAAGGTATTCTATCTTAGTCCTCACAGCTGACAACACATCTACATTTTAATTTGCAAACAAAGATAGATGTAGATGTCAGTGGGCCACAGCAACCACTTACCATCAGGTGAACTGTGTGTTCGTTTGCCACCCTTATTCTATAAAAAAAAAAGAGAATGTGGTGCCTACATAAACAGACCCCTAGGTAGAAAAGGAGGCCTACCACATTTTTGAGTTGGTATTGCCCACCTAGTAGTTAAGTAATAAAAATATTTACTAACCTTTTCTCTAATGGCCTGCTGAAATTTCTTTTCCAAAGCTGACATTCGTTGAGTGTAATCTTCTGTAATTGTATTTATATCACCTCCTTCATTCTTCGCTAACAATGACTCTATCTGACTCTTTAAGTGAGCATTACTTTCTACCAATTCTGCATTACTTCTACTTACTTCCATCAGTCTACTCTCACGGGCATCTAATATCTCTGCCATCTCACATAACCTCCTCATAAGTCTATCATTTTCGGAACCTTGACTCTCATCACTGGTATTACTCTGCACTGATGTTTCTGACAGTTCACGAGTGTGGCCACGTATTTTAGTCGCTAATGATTTACCTAAGACCAAGTCTACAAGATTTGGAGAAGTTGTACCATCAAACTTTGACTGCTTGAAACTATATTTTCCTGGACTGTTCCGACAAAAGCCATGACCATTATCTCCATTAGGGCTTGGTATAATTTCAATATCGGATGATGTTGCAGTTTCTGCTTCATCACCTGAAGTGTGTCCTGATGTCCGATCTGATCCGATTTTTACTAAATCACTTTTACTGTCTGAACTAATAGGCGATGTTCTTTCTTTAACACTGCAATCCCTTTGTGATGACTCGTTGCTGTCTGGTGCATTACACTGCTGCTTTTCAACATTCACAAAAACCGAGCTTTCTGACCTTAATAGATCTGTGGAAACATTGACATTATAAAAAGATGAGGAATCACTTAATTTTTCCATTAGCGTATCCTCATGATCCATTTCTTTTCGTTGATCTTCTATAGTCTCAAGAATAATACTATCATTATCGGCATTTAGTGTTCGGTCTGACCAAGAGCCATCGTTTGAAGAATTTTCACTAATGTGCATTTTTTGAGACAAATGTGGCTGGTCTAAGTGGATTAACTCCTTTTCTGCACCTTTCTTGTGACTGTCAATTCTTGTTTTTGGAAATGGACTGATAGGTTTTTCGTCAGTGTCTAACACAGTTGGTGCAGTACATTCTGAGATGGAATTATATGACATAGTATCTTCATCATCATCTGCTACCAAGCTAACACTTTCAGCTGTTTCAACTCTCTCTGTTGCCTCTCCAAGGGGAGTTGATTTTTTTTCTGACAAATCACCGGGTGAGAGGTTAGATGATGTACTTTTATCACTTGAATAACTGTCGAAACCAAGACATTCTATAGAACTCGGACTGATTAGACTATCTGGTAGTATTTCTACAGACTCAGAAGTTTGCTTTTGTCCTGCACTACTACTATTTGAAATTGAATGTATTGATGCTTCAGAGTCCGGGGTAGTCTTTAAGCTGTGTGATAAGACTTCAACAGAATCTGAGCTATTTCTACTTGAAACAAGGGACAATCTATGTGACAAAGATGAACTATGTCTATCATCTGCTTTGGAATTTATATCATCTTTCTTTGTTTCCAAACACTCTGCTCCATCAGACATAACTAACTGACTTCTTGAAAATAAATCATCTTGACTATCATATTTAGCATCAGCTATTACATTCATAGATTTAGCTTTAGGTGGTTGAACAATTGCAGATTCATTTTCAGGTGTCTTTGGTTGCTCAAAGAAAGAACCAGCGAAAGATCCCCACAAACTTTGAGAGTTTGACTTTGATGGACTCTCAGTAACTACAGGTTGCTCTTTGATCGAATCTTTTGAACTTTCAGCACTCGACGTCAGCCCCCAGGAAGCAAAGAAATCTGAATCCTTTTGAGGAGTATTTCCGCTACTTATAGATTTTGTTTTAACGAGCACTGGATCATCCTGTTCTTCACCACTCTCATCTTGTATGTCTAAAGCTTTGTCGATAGTTTTCTGAGCCTCTTTCAGTGCAGTTTTAGCTAAGCTCGTCAACCCTGATGTATCAAACCAATTCATATTGGCAAAACATTAGACACAAAAATGCGCACAAATAATTTTATTCAAATACAATTAACGACATTTTACAACAAGAAAATTAATTGTGTTCTGTGCATAAGCTAAATGATATTATAAACGTAACCACAACATACACTAATTAAATGACGTTTACTGACGTTTACGTTTTACATTCCATTTTGTGTTTACGTTTTGTGAATCTGGACAATCAGTTTCTACACTTGACAAACGATGACAATATTATAAACAGAAGAATAATGGTAATAGTAACTATATTACAATCTAGCAATAATAGTTTAATAATCTATCTTATTTAATATTTTGTGCAAGGTTGTATGAACGCGTTTGACATTTAATTATCACGAAAAAAGACATCGTTTGACCTAAAAAAAAAGTTGTTGAATTAATTGACAAATTTCAGCCCGTCAAACACAGCTCCAGTGGCGCAATTGGTTAGCGCACGGTACTTATAAGACAGTGTACGTGTGAGTAATGCCGGGGTTGTGAGTTCGAGCCTCACCTGGAGCATCATTTTTTTCAATATTACGAATGCTTTTACGTTAATATTTTTTATAATATAGTTAATCACAATTTCACAATTCTACTACAAATATCCTACTAATTTATACGAATGAGTAGATCTCATTCGTATAAATTACAATATTTCACAAGATTAATTATTAATTATTATTTGTTGGCTCCGTGGCGCAGTGGCTTAGCATTGAATTGCAGTGCTGAAGGCTGCGGGTGCGTATCCCACAAGGAACCAGAATTTATATGACCTACAAATAATTGTTTCGGGGTCTAGATTGTCCTTGTGAAATTTATGAATATAAAATGATACGATACAGGTAAAAATTCTAGTGGAGGTAACGTTTAAAAAAAATACATACCTTTGCGGTACAGACCCAAGAATTATTATTTAATTATAACTGTATGGCTTTTTATAATATATATTATTTATTTCACTGAATGTATACCTAGTCAGGTCATAAGTATTGTCACACAGTAAAAACTTTTCTTTTAGAATGCTGGCCACAAAAAAAGTTTATTGAATTCGAATTTCGAATTGTTCATGAAAATAAAACTTTACTTTTTAGAATTTTGCTCATTTTTAAATATGGAGTGGACGCTTAAAGAAGACCGTGTTGCAGTTATTGCGTTGCATCGTTGCGGTTACGCGCCAATTCAAATTTTTGACATACTGAAAAATTTGAATATAACCAAAAGATTCGTTTATCGTACCATCAAACGATACAATGAAGACTCTAGTGTAGATGACAGGTCAAGAAGTGGTCGCCCTCGGTCTGTTAGGACTCCAGCAGTGATAAAAGCTGTGAAGGCGCGAATTCAAAGAAATCCCAAACGTAAGCAGAAACTGTTGGCCCTTCAGATGGGGTTAAGCAGAACCACGGTGAAAAGGGTGTTAAATGAAGACTTAGGGCTTCGGGCATATCGAAGAAAAACAGGACATCGTTTGAATGCTCGTCTAATGGACCTGAGACTGAAGAGATGCCGCGCTTTGTTGAAGCGGTACGCGGGAAAAAAATATCGGGAAATTCTTTTTTCGGATGAAAAAATTTTTACCGTAGAAGAGAGCTACAACAAACAAAATGATAAGGTGTACGCACACAGTAGTGAAGAAGCGAGCAACCGTATTCCGCGTGTCCAACGAGGTCATTTTCCATCCTCGATCATGGTATGGTTGGGAGTTTCTTATTGGGGCTTAACAGAGGTACATTTTTGTGAGAAAGGTGTAAAAACGAATGCAGTTGTGTATCAAAATACAGTCCTGACGAACCTTGATGAACCTGTTTCTCATACCATGTTCAATAATAGGCACTGGGTATTACAACAAGATTCGGCGCCAGCTCATAGAGCGAAGAGCACACAAGACTGGCTAGCGGCGCGTGAAATCGACTTCATCCGGCACGAAGACTGGCCCTCCTCCAGTCCAGATTTGAATCCGTTAGATAACAAGATATGGCAACACTTGGAGGAAAAGGCGTGCTCAAAGCCTCATCCCAATTTGGAGTCACTCAAGACATCCTTGATTAAGGCAGCCGCCGATATTGACATGGACCTCGTTCGTGCTGCGATAGACGACTGGCTGCGCAGATTGAAGGCCTGTATTCAAAATCACAGAGGTCATTTTGAATAAACTTTAGTGTCATAAGAATCTATGTTTTGTTAAGTTCATTTTGGTATATAAATAGTTACATAATGAATAAACTTGTTTCAATTATTTTATATTAAACATGTGACAAAATTTATGACCTCAAAATCAGGTGATACATTTTTTTTATGAATCCTTGCTAGCATGTAAAATTAATAGAAGTCCAAATAAAAACTTAATTATTAGATAAGTACTTATTTAAAAAAAAACTAGCCCCCAGTGGCAAAGACCAGTCACGGATACAGTTCCCTTAGAAACTACCGTATTTGGACTTCACACACTTCATAAATACTCTAGAGTATATGGCACAAAAATATTATTACGTTTATTCATTTTGTCAGATTCATATTTGCGCCATTTTGAGCCGACGGTAAGAATAAGATTTTGACGGTAAGAATAAGATTTTTTTTGCATTGACTGGATTTGACTTTGAACTGCAGTAGGTAACTACTTATCATCAGTTCGAGTGTAAGTTCATTTTTCGTTTGTTACTTTAGTTTTAATAACTAGGCTAGATCCTTGCACACATGAAAATTTGGACTTTCAAAATATGGGATCCATACCATCCACATCCTTATAAAAGGTTTGTAAAATTATAGATATACCTTTTAAATAGTAAGAGTCAAATAAAATTACAGAATTTATAGTAAAATCTTTATTGCATATTATATTACAGCTTTATATATATGATTTAAAAGAACATGGTTGAAGACTATTAAGACATGTAAGTTTTCTACACTAGTACTTTCACTGGCGTGCAGGAAAGGGGCTGGAAAAAAGCCTAGCCACTAATTACGCCAATGAGTACTTTTGTAGTATTAAAAAGTTACCACCTTTATAAGATTCTCCTGTATAAAAATATAAATTGCACATAAATACAGATATAAATATACCGTGCGGAAAACAAACACGCGACTCGTAAATATCTAATGAGCTGTTTATTAATTTAATCAAATAGCATTAATAACAATGTCTACGAAAAGTTTATTAAGTTTTTTAAATAAAATTATATTATAACAAAATTAACCACATTCTGTTATTTATTCAGGATTTTATTTACACATGACAAACAATACGTTTTAAAAGAATGAATCAATCAGACATGAATCACCTACATAAAGAACTATATCATAAACACCATTAAAAAAATCTTTTAGGCTTTTAACATAGTTAAGACAATATTTAACTCATTCACTGTCCCGTGTACTACATATAATTCTTTACTATTGTCTTACTATTGTGTCTGAAAATTGGACAGTTAGTGTTAAGACGACCACGGAGCAATACTGAAAGACGAAGACTGAAGAACCTTTTTACTGGAAATGAGGCATTTCATCTTAATCTTTAATATTTAACCGAGGGTAGATGTAGATGTCTATGAACCACATCCACTTACCATCAGGTGGACTGTGTGCTCGTTTGTCACCCTTATAAAAAAAATTATTAGTAACAGAGAGCACAGAAAAACAATTCGTGCTCTTTAGCAGAAAGGATTTGCCTGTAAGAAGTAGGCCATGATAAAAAAAACTACTCTATGACGTTACAATATGATTTTAGTGGCAAGAAGAAAAACTGAAACTGGCCTAGTCTTACTGTCTTTACTTTCGATTAAAATGTGGATGCCTTCAAGGCAAGAATGAATAGGCTTTTGTTAAACTAAGTCCGTGCGTATTATCATTGGTTACATCAGCACTTACCATCAGGTGGGGTAATAGTCATGCACTGACTTATAATATAAAAAAAAAGTGATCAATGTAACACCATTCGTAACTTGATCGTATTACTGAAACGAAGGAGCTGAATTGGTGCCCACAGATTTTACCACACTACCAGTGTTTTACACCTCAACCTCGCACAACGTTCCACTCAATCTCTATGAAAATGTACTTTATCAACATCTCTCTATATTCTACATGTTGAAAATATTTCCTTTATTTTTTCAATTTTATTTTGTCTCAATATTACATGTGTTTAGTGTATAGGTCTAAGACAGAACTAAATATGGATAGATTGTAATTCGATATTAATTTCATTGTGCGATCATTATTTAACTATTGATACTGAACTTCATTTTCATCATTTCATCATCATTACAGCCTTTCACTTCATTTTATTAACACATAAATTTCTAAAATTCGATTTTTTCACACCAAACCATTAAGGCAGCTTTTCAATCATACGTAAACACAACAATTAACCAACACTTTTATCATAGGAGAGGACTTTTTATACCTATAATCATAGAATATTAAACCAACAGCATATGCTTCAATTCAAAGCAGAAATATTAAAATTAAAGAAGAAATAATAATTTATATATTTATTTAATGTATATACATAACTAATTAAACTATGCCAGTGTTGCTCGTAGTAGGCGGAGCAGGTTGTGTGAACATGAACGACGTAGCGTTTTGTAGTATCTGTTTTTTTACGAAGTCTGTGGTTGCCGACTTTAGATTCTCTTTCGCGCCAAATTTGCATTTGACGTAACCGTAGAGATTTGCACCGGTGAGGGTAAGCGCTATGAGGACCAGGAGCTGAAATAATATTATATTTTTATAACAATAATAATACAATACCTTTTTATTTCAGAAACAATGTTTTAGTAACAAAATATACAAACTTAAAACTAGCCTTCGGATTTACGGATTGTGACATGCAAACTTAATTTTAGATGTAGGAATATAAATATTATATGATGAGAAATTATGTAAATAAACAAATATATTACACTAAGGAACACACTCAATTGTTAGAATGGAATATGGTAACAATTTTTTTTCATCATTATAATCGAGGCGATAAGTATTAGACTTATATTTCTTAGTACGCAAGCAAACCATGTTCAATCCCCAACAGTGCCAATAATACTATTTGTTGCAGATTTATATGCTGATTTTCTACTTGCTCGATGGTGAATACCTAAATACATCCCGAGTAAACTTGCACGTCTAAGATTAATAAATATTTCGAGAACCAGTGAAGTCCCTCAACTTGCTTTGCACACCGTGCTCTCCCCTTCCACATAACCCACCAGAGTGAGAAATGAACCCTCAGAAAAAATAAGCTTTGATAAGGCCTTGCCTGTGTCCTGTTTTTAAACTTAATTTTCCTGGTTTTTCCAACTTCAAATCCTAGTTTTTTTTTTTAATTTGTAGTTGGCAACCCTAGTTTAAAGACTAGTTATGGTATCTTAAGTTACTGAAACAGAACATACCATCCACTTAAACTTGAGTCCGAAGAGGCAGATGATGAAGAACCCGGACCAGATCATAGGGCATAGGATAAGTCCTAGCCAGAACAGGCGGCTCTCGTTACGATTAACTCGATTCTGAAAACATTGAGCAGAATAAAACTTCGACTAAGGTTTTTTTTGTAATTTGACTCGAGCTAAAACCATTTTCATCTACTATAATGTTAAAATAAAAAATCTTTTTTTACTATGTGCGAGTTTTTAATCGTAATAATGTAAAAAGGTCTGTGACTTAGATAAATGCCGTTCGGCCGCACGCGTGTCTAATACCTAATATTGAAAAAACGTTTCGTTATCCATTACGATCCGTTTTATTATATGCAATCCAGTTCAGGTTTTATTAAATATTCAACTCAAGATGACTTAAAATGAAACAACTCTATCTACTCGTTTCTAAATTGTTAAATAAGTATATTATTAGTAAGCTTAGAATAGTTAAAAAAAAAAACGAAGTTTTTAGTCACTTTCTAGACTGCAGAACGAAACATATTTCAATTATAGAATGTAGACAGATTTAAAATGCCTGTCAAATGGTAACTCTAGTTGTGTAGGATCTGCAAAATACAAACTAAAATTTAAATAATATTTTTATTCTTAATAATTTAATGCTGTTAAGGTAATTTGCTATGAATTCTTATTAATAATGTTAAAATAGATCAAATAAAAGTTATTGTTTTACCGTCGTAGTGTCGGCATAAGAGAACTCATCATCCCACTTCATCCTGATACTTTCAATGGAAATGCCAGGAAGATCTTATGGACTCGGACGGATAGTAACAATCTCGTATATTACGTCAAATGTAAAATACCTCGATTGGAGACTGGGAGCAAATGTGGAAAGTGTGAAACGTTTACAAATCTGTTTGTCATGCGTAGTGAATATGGCATATCTTACCTAATGGGAAGTAAACCTACAAAGTGAAGTGAAGAAAAGTAATTGAAAGTGGCTTTCATAATTATAATGTGGAGGATCTTTTTGGCAATAAGATCTTGCGGATAGCTCTCACTGTCAACGCCCGCAACACCTATGAGATGAGATGAATTCTTTAATGCTGACATTACAGCAGAGGTTATTGCACTAACTAACATTTATGCATACAAATATTTTAATGATTTTTGTGTATTTTTATACTTAATATTGAAATCTATCAAAACAACCAAATTATCACATTTAGTCAAAAAGTTATAAGTTGGGAACTGTGGCATATCAAAACAGCTGAACAGAACAAAATTATATCTGCTCCATATTAACTACGGAATTATATATATATATTTATACCTATTACACACCTGTTTTGATTCAAAAACCCAGTGGGATTTGCCTTCATCATCAACATAGTTCCACCACCTTAATCCAACCAATAGACGACCTGTAAATAAATTATTATTTGAACATGCAAGTTAAGTCAAATATACATACAGTCGACTCTAGATAATTAAATTAATAGAATCAGGCGTTACTTTGGGGAAATCCATTATATAAAAGGTTTTAAAAAGTTATTTCGCAAACGTCCGCTCTCAAATATCCGCGTTATAAAATAAAATGATGTGTCTTACCTAGTATGAAGAGCACCTCCCGCCCTCCCTCAATTGCGTGCACTATCCCCGTCACCACTAATCCCAGCACCGCTACTCCCAACACCACTACACTAGGCAAGACACACCACTGACGATAATACGACACGTGTTTCGCCTCTACACGAGGCATCCTCAGGTGATATAGACTCTACGGTGGCTAACCGCTAAGTGAGCGGCGAGCCAAAACAAGTGCCTTTTATACAGACCGATGACGCAACCGCTGTCTACTTAAGGAGTGAGCGACTGCGTCATGCGATAAAGCATGCGACCAATCACCGCCGGACTTACGCAGCCGTTTGTAAAATTAAAAACAAACCGCCGCGCAACGCCCACCCTCCAACCACGCAACCAATCGCCGAACACCGTGAAGGTGACAAACGGACATATTGCGAGGCTCTCTATTATTAGAGAGCAGGCTTAAAGATATTTAAGAGAGGTGAGTTAGTAACATTTGTTTGTTCATTCAGCAATGCAACGGTACTATTGTTACTTTTTAATATCTCTAACTGTTCCAGCACACACAGCCGCAGCCCTTTATTACACGTATGTAAGACTTTAAAGGAGTGGTCGTTGGCTAGGTTGTGTCCAGTGTCCAAAAGATGTTTGGTGGGATTTATCGGGATTGCAATTCCTGTACGCGGCTAAATGCTCTTTATAACGTGTCTCGAAATTGCGACCAGTCTGACCCACGTAAACGGCGTGGCATTCGTCACAAACAAGTTTGTAAACACCCCGAATTGCAATCCCGATAAATCCCATTTTGCCAAACATCTTTTGGACACTGGACACAACCTAGCCAACGAGCACTCCTTTAAAGTCTTACATGCGTGTAATAAAGGGCTGCGGCTGTGTGTGCTGGAACAGTTAGAGATATTAAAAAGTAACAATAGTACCGTTGCATTGCTGAATGAACAAACAAATGTTACTAACTCACCTCTCTTAAATATCTTTAAGCCTGCTCTCTAATAATAGAGAGCCTCGCAATATGGCCGTTTGTCACCTTCACGGTGTTCGGCGATTGGTTGCGTGGTTGGAGGGTGGGCGTTGCGCGGCGGTTTGTTTTTAATTTTACAAACGGCTGCGTAAGTCCGGCGGTGATTGGTCGCATGCTTTATCGCATGACGCAGTCGCTCACTCCTTAAGTAGAGAGCGGTTGCGTCATCGGTCTGTATAAAAGGCACTTGTTTTGGCTCGCCGCTCACTTAGCGGTTGGCCACCGTAGAGTCTATATCACCTGAGGATGCCTCGTGTAGAGGCGAAACACGTGTCGTATTATCGTCAGTGGTGTGTCTTGCCTAGTGTAGTGGTATTGGGAGTAGCGGTGCTGGGATTAGTGGTGACGGGGATAGTGCACGCAATTGAGGGAGGGCGGGAGGTGCTCTTCATACTAGGTAAGACACATCATTTTATTTTATAACGCGGATATTTGCGAAGTAATTTTTTCTAAAAGCTTTTATATAATGGATTTCCGCAAAGTAACGCCTAATTCTACAGAGGCTGCACTAAAAGTATCGGGAATGGAATATTTCCACTGTTCCTGTCATATTAAAATCTTTTTAATTGAAAAGTCCTTGGTTTTAAAAATCGAATACCTTTTATTTATTTAAAAAAAGATTCTCGGTCTTGTCACAAGGTTTTGTCAAACTTGTTTAGTCGTTGAGAAAATGGAATTGACTCGAGAAAATTCAAGAGCGATGGTTTATTATGACTTTCGAAGTGGTTTAACACAAAAACAGTGTGTTGACCGGATGATTTCTGCATTTGGTGATGAAGCCCCATCCAAAACCACAATTTATCGCTGGTTTGCTGAATTTCAACGTGGACGTGTCAAGCTCAGTGATGATCCCCGTCAAGGTCGTTCGAAAACTGCAGTCACCCAAGAAAACGTTGATGCTGTGCGTAAGCTGATTGAGGAAGATCGACATGTGATATACCGCGAAATTCAGGCGACTTTAGACATTGGCATGAGTCAAATACAAATAATCTTGCATGAACAATTAGGTGTAAAAAAGTTGTTTTCCCGATGGATATCGCCGCATTCGCTCTGTGAAGAGCAAAAAGCGGCTCGCGTTACTTGGTGCGTCAGCACTCTCGAAAGATTCCACGCAGGATCCTCAAATGCTGTATACAACATCGTATCAGGTGACGAATCCTGGATACGAACCCGAAACATAAAACCAGTCACGAGTTTGGGTGTTCGAAAATGAGTTAAAGCCAACAAAAATTGTTCGTTTACGGAGTGTTGGAAAAAAAAATGGTGGCCACGTTTGTCTCCAAAACCGGCCATATTACGACTATTCCTCTTGAGGGACAAAGAACGGTTAATGCAGAATGGTATGCTAGCATTTGTTTGCCACAGGTCGTTTCTGAACTCCGTAAAGAGAACTACAACCGCCGCATCATCCTTCATCACGACAATGCGAGTTCTCACAACGCACACAGAACAAAAGAGTTTTAAGAGCAAGAAAACATAGAATTATTAGACCATCCGCCGTACAGCCCCGACCTAAGCCCAAATGATTTCTATACTTTCCCTAAAATAAAGAATAAGTTGCGCGGACAGAGATTTTCATCACCTGAAGAAGCTGTGGACGCCTACAAAACGGCCATTTTGGAGACCCCAACTTCCGAATGGAATGGTTGCTTCAACGATTGGTTCCATCGTATGGAAAAACGTGTCAAATTTCGCGGAGAATACTTCGAAAAGCAATAAATACATTTTTAAATAATAATGTTGTGTCACCTCCTCCTTGATTCCAGAAATTTTCAGTGCCGACCTCGTATTAACAATCAGTATGTCATATTTTATGTATGCGATGTGTCCCTTCTTTTTCTCTTCTTCAAGTTGCGGTTGTAGATGTTTTCGTTTTACCAGGATTTCCTTAGAGTAATCTTCTTTTACATTAATACCTGAAGGGAGGTTTGTCTTATTTTTGAGTATAAGGTGTTTTTTCCATTGGGTCGTGATAGATGCTATGACTGGACCATTTTTGTTTTTGCTTTGTTTTCCGATTCTATACTCATTGCTAATTTCGTGACTATCCATGTGGACTCCCATGTCTACTATGAGGTCCTTAATGAAGTCAACTAGTACCCCTTCAGATTTTCCCTTCTCTTCGATTCCGAAGAACACAAGGTTGTTTTTACGTTTTTCTTTATCAACTGCTTTCAGTTTTTGTTCCAGTTCTGATACCTTATTTTTAAGAAAATTATTTTCCTCAATAATTGTTTTCATCTTCTCATCTAGCGCTTCCATGACATTTTTAGTTACCGAATGAGTTAATTTTTCAGCTTGTTTCTCTAATTTCTCGTTAAGTTTGAGGAGAAGTAATTCCATGTATTTGTCCATTTCCTTTATGATCTTTAAAAAATTTCAGATGGGGTAGTTCTGTTTATGTTGTGGTAACTAATTAGTTTAGGAAATTTTCCTTCAAATTAGTGGCAGCCCTGTATAGGTCACTGTCACTGTCGTGAGGTTGGTACTTGACACTCGCTGTACACAGTCTATGGTACACAGTAGTCTCTAGTCTATGATATATGATAGCTTCTATAATTTTTAGGTTATATTGTCGTGTAGTTTTTATGATTTTCTTGGCAAGGTTTTTTCACTAGCACTGCGAAGGCACTTCGTATGTGATTGTTAATGTTTATTTTGATGTTATTTAGTTCCTCAGCACTGATTTGACACTATTTAACACTAATTTTCGATAAATTTCGACAGAGACAAGTGACGTGCGTGTTGACTAATTAGCCACCGGAAACCGATTCTCCTGTTATTACCACATCATTAATCATTCACTATTGACTGGGGATTTTCCTTCACTTTGGAGATAAGCATTTGTCATTCCGCTGTCCAAAATAAATAACCCCTTTTCTTTCTCTCACTTTCGCCCCATATCCATTCTCCCTTTTTATCTAAAGTTCTTGAATCTATTGTCCACAAACAAATTTCTCGTTACATTTTCTAAAATATATAAAATAATTTCAAAAATATAATAACTTTCTTAGCACATATCAATCTGGTTTTAGGCCTGGGCACAGTACTACCACAACTCTTTTGAAAGTTACGGAAGATTTGCGTACTGGAATGGAGAACTCAAAATTGACTGTGTTAGTCCTAATAGATTTCTCTAATGCTTTTAATGCTGTCGATCATGACATTCTCCTAGCTATACTTTGTCACCTGGGTTTCTTTTCGTCAGCGCGGGACTGGTGCTCCTCATTTCGGGGTCGCCAGCAAGCAATTCGAGTAGGTCAGATTATCTCTGATTGGTGCTCGTTGTCTGCTGGCGTTCCTCAAGGCGGAATTCTCTCTCCTCTCCTGATCTCAGTCTTTATAAATCTAATTGTATCCCACATTCGCTGTCGTACCATCTGTATGCTGATGACTTACAAATTTATGCTCAAGCTGAGGTGGCATTTATCGACGATGTGATTGAGAAGATCAACTGTGATCTCAATACATATACATATACAATAGTTAAGTAATCTTAATCTAGGAATCTACAGTATCTGATGTAGTTAGAGTGGGGCAATAGTAACATGGCAAGAACAACCAAACTTATCATACATACATACATATAATCACGCCTCTTTCCCTTAGGGGTAGGCAGAGACCACTTCTTTCCACTTGCTACGATCCTTACATACTTGTTTCGCTTCGTCCACTTTCATTATTCCATTCATACATGCTCTACGGTTTAGGGTACTCTTGACCTGGCCTTTTTTCAAGACGTCCCTGATTTGGTCTTGAAACGTCCGCTAAGGTCCTACCCCTTCTAACACTTTCATTCACACTCGCCTTATACACTTTTTTCGTCAATCGTTCTTAATTCATTCTCTCGACATGGCCAAGCCATCTCAGCATACCTTTCTCAATGTTTGTCACTACATCTTCTTTCAAGTGATCTCAATTGTATTTCTAATTGGTCAAACAGATTTGGTATAAGGTTAATCCATCAAAATGTCAGACTGTGGTTGGTAGTTCTCGTAGACTGACTAAAATTGATATGAAGGCGCTAACTCCCATAATACGAGTATTTAATAATGTAATTGTTCTTTACTCAACAACTGTTAAAGATCTTGGCTTAATTATAGAAACACCCTCAGTTGGCGACCGCATATACAGGGTCATTTTTAATTTACTAAAGTACTTTTGGGAATATATTGGTTGCATCATTACAAACAACTTTGGCGAAACACACAAGTAAGTACAGTTGATATATAATAGAGAAAAATCTTGTTTATTTGCCCAAACAATACTTATGCAGGGCCTAATAATGACATTATTCATCATCATCATTATACCCTTCACAAGTCCATTGCTGAACATAGGCCTCCCCCAAGGAATGCCACAAAGCACAGTCCTGAGCCACCTGCATCCATCGACTTCCTGCATGTCTTACCAGGTCGTCACTCTATCTAGTGGGGGGACGCCCTACACTTCGTCTGCCGGTACGAGGATGCAACTCGAGAACCTTTCTTACCCATCGGTTGTCGGTTCTTAGAGCTATTTGCCGGCCCATTGCCACTTCAGCTTACTAATTCTTTGGGCTATGTCGGTTACTCTGGTTCTACTGCGGATATCCTCGTTTTTAAGTATATCATGCAGTGAAACACCGAGCATAGCCCTCTCCATAGCTCGCTCAGCGACTTTGAGCTTCCTCATACGGACAGTAAAGGACCACGTCTCAGCTCCATAAGTCATCACTGGTATCACGCACTGGTTGTAGGCTCATTTTCAAGTTTTGAGGTATACCTCCAGGAATACCTGACGAGAAGATGTGCCGTAATCACATCTTCTCGTCAATCTCATTTTTTGTCAAACCATCGGGACTTGACCAGGTCCACTTCCTGTGGGGCCGCTTCTGGAAGAAAGAGTTCATCATAGAGTCCCTCTTTCTCCATGAAGTCAGCCAGCTGCTGGCCCCTTGGGTTCCGTTGCCCTATTCCAAATTGCCTTACCTTCAGCTCACCATTCTCTCTTATGCCTAGTTTTGCGTTGAAGTCTCCCATTAACACCGTATAGTGGGTTTTGGAGGGATGCATGGCTCTACATATATCCTCATACATTTCCTCCACCTCCTCATCGGTTTGTGCCGAGGTTGGTGCGTAAACCTTATGACCTTCAGTGAATACCGTTAGGAGATTCTGAGTATAAGCTACACAACCCTCGTCGACACACTCTCAATCTTTACAACGTTGTTAAGGAGAAACTTGTGGACGATAAATCCGACACCGCCTTGGGACTGATGGTCGCACTCCCGGTGATACAACAAGTTGCCGGATTAGAGGATTAGAGGACATTTCCCCCTCTATTTGGACTTCAGTTAATCCTATAATATTCCAGTGCAACTTGTTTATCTCTTCTTCCAGCTCCAGGATTGTCTCGTCAATCCTCAGTGTGCGTGCGTTATATGTTGCCAGGTCGAGTCGTCTTAGGTGGCAACCGAACCTCCACCGGAGATTCTTAGCACCCCCTGCCCCGCCATTACCATGGTCGCCACCGTAGCCAGGAATAGCTGGGCCGCCGGGGACTGGGGGTCATCTTTTTGTAACTTTCGTCATGAGGGGGGGGGGGTATATTGCCTTAGTTGCCACGCTTGGCGAGGGGGTTGGCAACCACAGCTTTTTATTGTTGTTTTGCTGTTATTAGAAATATGCTGCTGCCCATCTTCTGCCTCAGTTTCCCTCTGTCGCCTCTTAGAACCCTCATGAGAAGATATGGGGTGGTGGTATTCTTACCCGCCACTACATGGGAATCAAACATTCGCCTACTCCAGAAGAGTGCAAGTGTTTAAGAAATTTCAAAAAAATTATGAGTATTTATACAAATAAATAAAATTGAAGTGTCTGTTTGTAATGTCAAAATAACAGCTTTTTACTAAATGGATATGAAAGTATATATGGTATTTATAACAAGAAAAAAAAATTTTTGTCTATCTGTCTGTCTGTTTGTTCCAGCTAACTTCTCAAATGACTGGACCGATTCTAACAGGATTTTCACTAACTGATAGCTGATGTTATAAGGAGTAACTTAGAGTTCAAAAACTAAAAGCCATGTTATCTAATTATAATTATTTTGATGCAGACAAATTCAGAGGGAACGGTACGACTTTCCATTGACGTCAGTGGAGTTTGGTGTTGATACGTATTTTTACAGAAAGATTACACTATTATAAGCACACACATAAAGTCTCAATATACGGAAACGCGTAATTTTGTAACGATGTCGATTCTTTCCGAAAAAGGTCGATTTTTAAATCGATTCAAATCGTAAGCTGATGTATCGATTCCCAAAAAATCGATTTCTAAAATATCGATATTTTTTTCATGTTTGCATTTATAATGTAAATATAAATCCATTTTATGAGAAAAAAATCCCCTTCATCATAAAAAAATAAGGGGACTGATAAGGATTTCTGTATCTATTTTGAGACTGCTACGTCTCCGGCGCTGCGGGAAGAGCAACCTCTACGCCTTAGCGTAACAAATCGCAGGCATCCCTCCTCGTCCGATGCCTACGATTTGATACAGCAGGCGGAGGCTGCTCCCCCTACGCGCCTCCGGCTCTATAAAACCACTCTAGGGGTAGGACAGACTCGTACCAGGTGGAGTCGGGGTCAATCAATTCGGTTCTTTGACATAAGTTGAACCTAACCTATTTTATTTGTTATCTGCCCTAATAGGTACTGTTAAATAAAACAAATTTCAATAAGAGATCATTTATCATGGTATCTTTCTTGTTTTTCATAAAATGGGTTTATATTTACATTATAAATAGAAACATTAAAAAAATATAGATATTTTAGAAATCGATTTTTGGTGAACCGATACATGAGCTTACGATTTGAATCGATTTAAAAATCGACCTTTTTCGGAAAGAATCGACATCCCTATTGACGTCGACAGTGACATTACAAAATGGCGCCAGTTTATTAGCAGATTAGACATAAACATTGCAAGAATAATTGATTTTCAATTATTCTTTTCTCAAAAATTACGCGTTTCCATATATTGAGACTTTGTGTGTGTGCTTATAATAGATTAATCTTTCTATAAAAATACGTATCAACACCAAACTCCACTGACGTCAATGGAAAGCTAAGCCGAGGGAACAGCTAGTTTAATAATATTCAAAAACTTACCACTTATATTTTTCACTGTCCAAAAGTCAGCAGACAATAGCAATATCACCAATACAAAGCTTGCAATAAAAGAGTCTGAGAACCAGCCACATAAAATGTACACCACTATAGCTGCACTTCGAAATATAAGGTGAAAAAACACAATGTAAGGATGCCTGAAATTTAAAAAAATATATTAATATTTATTTTTAATGATATGATAATATTTTAAATAACTAATAATGTATTATATTTTATAATTTTCAGATCGGATTTTGCAATATTGTTTTTCCATTGACAGTAATATATTATTTATTACACAGAACTTTTTATAATAAATAATAATTTTATATGAATGCAGTTTTCTATATTTTTTATTATGTGATTCAAGAATACTATAATTCCCTATTAGTTGTTGGTTCTTCAAGCTATATAGCAGGCCTATTGCCACTTCAGCTTACCATCTACTGGGCTATATCAAAGCTAAATCTATACCTCAGCTATCTAAGCTATAGGTTTCTGAAAAAAAAAAACACCAGTAGGCTTGAATTTTTGAGTTGCCCACACACCATATGACTGGGAGACAAGATAACATGTGGGGGCAAAGAATATATTTCCATTTCATACAGTGAATAATGCTGATCTCATTAGTTAAGTAATCTTAATCTAGGAATCTACAGTATCTGATGTAGTTAGAGTGGGGCAATAGTAACATGGCAAGAACAACCAAACTTATCATACATACATACATATAATCACGCCTCTTTCCCGTAGGGGTAGGCAGAGACCAGTTCTTTCCACTTGCTACGATCCTTACATACTTGTTTTGCTTCGTCCACTTTCATTATTCCCTTCATACATGCTCTACGGTTTAGGGTACAAGGCCAGGTCAAGAGTACCCTAAAACTTATCATAATACAAGAAAAACTAATATACTTACACAAACTGTTTACTGGCATTGTCTTCCTCACCAAAGGCGATGGTGTCATCATCAAGCAGCGGCACCTGGGGCACACCTGGCTGTAAGTAGCGCGGTAACAAAACTACATCAGCAGAAGCCGTGCAAAGCATAAAAATTATATCAAAGTAAAAAAACTAATATCGATATGCAAAGAAAATATTTTTTTAAAGGAGATGAAATTGTAATTTAACGGTGGTTATGGTATTAGTATTTTATAGCCGTAACTACTGTTACTGAATGAAATAACATAACATTGCAAATAAACACAGCAAACTTTTGAAACATGTTAATTGTACAGTTTAAGAAATTTGGGAGACTCAAAGATAGAGACATTACAATAACAAGACGACATAAACTTACTGTCGCAGAATTCATCGTTTGTATGTTACGTTGACTATCTGTTATTTATGTTTACTAGATTTTTATTAGGTTTACACCAAAGTATAGAGTGATTTATTGGGAAGGTTACACGTTTACGTAAACATGAATCATATCCCTATCGTTAGCAATTTCAACAATCATACAAATACAATTTTTTTTTTGTAGTAAAGAAAAAACTCGCAACTCGCAACGTTGTAACGTCAAAATGACATTGACATTATTTTTTAATTAAGATTTTTGACTTGGATGCTTGCTTTTTAAGCCATTGACAGTATTCCGATTTGTGTAAATTATCCACATTACATAATCGTTCCTAATTAAAACGAACAGTGACGTTGAAAAAGGATTTTAGTTTTTCTTGTATTAGAATAATAATTGATTTTATCATTATAAAATTAAATTATCTAAATGATGGGTCGTAATTTTTTTTATTCTATAAATCTTAAAATAATGTTATATTGTTATGTAATTATTTATTTTTTATGCCTTGACTGTTTTACTAGGTACTATTTATATTATATTATTTACTCTAAATCCTCGTTTACTTTTTGCCACTGCGATGAGTTTTTTTTTCTACTGGGCTTTATAAAAAAGAATACTTTTTGATGAGAAAGATTCGTCAACGTTTTTTCCTTCACAGCCTACTATCTATATATGATGCATGATGGCATACCCCAAGAACTGCTATAAAACACGGTTGTTATTTCCTGCAAATTCAACCGTGTTTTATAGCAGTTCTTTTATTATAGTATATTCCTGCAAAATCCTATTAATCTAACTAATAAATGAGGGCTCAACACTTTACAGACCGGTACACAGCTGCGAATGGAGAAACTTTCTGGCCCACTGATTGCTAGTTCCTTGAGCTAAATGACCGATCCGTTATCATCTTAATTTAATGATTCGTTGGGCGCTCTCTGTTACTCTCAATGAATTGCGGATATTGCAGTTAAAAATTCTATTACGCAGGGAAACTTTGAAAACACACTGTGCGTAACTCAACATATGTTGTATATGTTGTGTAGTCTAGTGTTGAGGCGATTCCTTCCGAACGATTCGTTAGCGGGGCAAGAGTGTAGGTAGGGCGAGGTGCTGCTATTCGTAAGGGATACTGCAATTCTGGGCAGTAATTTTGTTGTCACTCCCGTAACTGACATTATATTGGCAGAATTATTTTTAGAGTAAATGAAGAATTCTGACTGGATCACACAGTAGATGCGGCAAAGTTGTGGTCACGTGGTGTGAAGGGGTGTTAGTATTACAATGCGTAAATAAATTGCCTGACCAAAAGGGACTTTAGTTATGTCAATTGTCAACCAAAAGTGTCAACAATTGATTACCGTCAGCCGATTTATGAAATGTAAAGCAAGACAAAATATTAATAAAAAAGATTTAAGATAAGTTATTCATAAAAAAGATTGCAAATCCAATTTATCGATTATTTTTACTACAAATCTATATTCGATATTCGTAATTTTGTGTAGTAAAATATAATGTATACTGAAATAGCAATCGTTAAACGATTTATCATTATCATTAATTTTTATTTAAAGACGCTTGTAATGGATTACCAATTTTTGAATTATTCCTAATTTCTATTTCAAAGGGTATTATTTAACACAATATTGAAATATAAATACAATATTTAAACACTTTAATATTTAAAATAAAGGTCAGTCGTAGGACTGCACGTCGTCGTCGTCGCCGCTGTAAACATTATTTTTGGCTTGTTGAGGAATATTTTTGGAAGTATTTTTTGTTAGAAATTATTTTTATCAACATTAAATTTATAATTTTATAGCTATTTTCATATCATTACCAATATCTTATAAATTATCCGAACATTTCCAGACTGGGCTCGAGCAGAGTATTTCTTTTTATACATATGTAAACATATGTACAAGAAAACAATATTTTAAAATAGTAAAAGCAATGTTCGTGTTTAAGATGTACAATTTACTACTATCAAAAACAACGGGACACCTAGAAGGTATAGCGTTTCCGCACTGATATTTTTTATTCCTGAAGAAATATTATTTAAATTTTGAATTAAAGTGTCCCTGTTAGAACTGGATAAATTATTGGATTATTTTTCACATTTATTGTTATTTGGTTCAAGAATATAATTTTTAAAAACTTGAAAAATATGAGTAAGATCTCTGTGTACGTCATCTGCTCTACCTTCCAGTGTACAGTCGTCCAGGTACCAAACATTCAGCTTGGATTTTAAATTTGAAATGATAGGTTAAATTCCCAAACTGAAAAGAGCTGGACCTAGTGGATCACCCTGCTGAACACTAACAGTATAATCGATAACATATATTTTGACTATAACTTTGCCAAACGTAATAATAAAGAGGTACTATTAGCCACTTCTTTCAGCAGAGTTACTCTGTCAATGTGTTAGGTTAACCTTTACAAGAACATATACATCAGAATTTGTTGAAAATGTACGTACTGAATGTACCGCCGCCTCACAGCCACCATTAGTCTAAAGCCTAGTTGAGTAGGCTAAAATTTTTTTTAAGGTTAGTGCTTATGTGCCTGCAAGCTAGTTTTGAAGTTAAGCTTCCAAATGTGGTACCAAGGCCAACAGGACGGATATCGTTATTCTTTTTTTTAGGGCACGCAATCTACAACAAATAGGGAATTAAATTATGAATAAGATTATCAAAAAGCATAAAATTACATAAACAACTAAATATTGTACAATAAATGAGTACAATATAATTTAAAGTTACAAATTTTGTACAACCGTCTTCAATATAAATAATTAAGAAGAACTCAAAAATGATTAGTCAGATCTTGATAAAATTTATAAGCAATCATCAGCATTCAAATAAAAAAAGAATCATTGAAATCGGTGCGCGCAGAAAAAAGTTGTGAGGTAACACACATAAAAAAAAGAACATACAGTCGAATTGAGTACCTCTTCCTTTTTGAAGTCGGTAGAAAATGTACTTAATCGCTTTTAAAATGTTAATATTTTGCACGATCTCGGCTTTTGTTTTCTGTGAGCATTGCATTGTATTTTTACTTCACATTCATGATAATCGAATAAAATCGATATTAATATCACTCGAAAGAACTGTCAAAATTTTGCAGAAAGACAACACATGCAACGCTGTTTACAAGTAGGTACTTCAGACGTCCTTCTGTTTGTCGATTTTACAGTCTTGTAATTTTCATAAACCATCGCTTGTTTTTTGTTTTTTCTTTTCGTACGATGATTGGAACCGACGCGGGTGTCGTTTTACGCGTGTGCTCGTGATCGTAGAATAAATTTTGTGTGTGACTAGTGCGGTTTGCGTAATAAAGTCGGTAGTCATGGGTGCTAAGGCAAGTACGGCCAACGGAGGGCAGAGTCCGCGTGCGAGGACATTCTCTACGAGCTCTAGTTCGGACGTCGTATCCGGTGGTGCCGGCTTTAGTTTGTTACGCGCAATACCGGGTATACAGGTGACAAATGATCGTCAGAGGGCGAGGTCGCTGTCTTCTGTGCCGGACTTGCACGATTCGCACGAAGCGATTGCCATTCCAGCAAATTCACAAAGTTATGAGGCTTCGGCAGCAGCGAGTCCGGATACAGACTCTAGTTCTAATGAGGAGGCTGGTCCAGTGCCAGGAACCTCACTGGCACTTGGTAGAGTCTATGCGGCGCACTCCCTGCCTTCACACATCTGGTCTATAAACGGTAAGAATAGTTATGTACATCTATTGGTTTTGTTTTGTTGCAGTAAACAAGATTGTTTTTAACAACATAGTCAATGTCAAAATGTGTAATATAAAGATAATTTTATTTCAAGTGTACTCGTAAACTATTATTTCCCTATAAGAATTTAATTAGGTATTCTAGTTGTTGCTCTTATATAAAATGTTCAAATCGAAAGTTATATTTACATTGAAATCCAATAATAGTTAATAAAGTATCACATATTCTTATGTAACAAATTTTACCATTAGGTTAACGTAGCGCACTTCAAAGTTAATCAAAAACCATTGTTTTCTTTATCAATCAATAACAATAATAAACTAATATTATTCATATTTTTTGGTAATAAGAAATGATTAATGTAATTCACCATGTACATACAGGCAGCATAAAATAATCCATCACTGCCTATAATCCTGTTTGTGTCGTAAGATGGCACTGAGGAATGGGAAAGAGAAGATGGGCAGCAGCAATTTCCTGATATAAATGTAGGTGCCAGCATGTCTGCCAAGCGTGGCAACTATGGCAAATATGAGTCAATTTATGGGGGAGGCCTATGTTCAGCAATGGACTTTAATAGGCTGTAACAGTGTAATGGAACTTGAATAAGATCTTTTTCTATTCATTATGGTCAAATTTCCACCATCAGGTGACCACTAATTATAATTTATTATCTATAATAAACACATTGTTTTAATGATATATAGTAATAGTGAATCTAAATGTTGGTCTTCTCAGTCAAGGACGGAACAAATCTGAACAGATCCCTCCAAAGGATATAAAAAAAAGACCTAATGACAAAAAAGAGCACAGCTCGCGGAGTTTTTTCACCGTTTCTTTTCCGACCAGAGGAACCTCATTTCGAAACAGTAGTAGATTTGAAAAAAAAAGACGGCAAATAAAACTTAAATTTCACATGTTGAAGAAATAAATATATTTTATTTTATGTACAATATACTATCTGCTAATATTCCCACACATTCTGTATGGCCGTTTTCTTTGGATGATATTAATTTAATTTCAACCTGTGTAAATGTATTGTAAATATTCAGTTTTAACTCTCTTATTCCTGTAGTAGAACCAGAATAACCGACATAACCCAAAGGATCAGTGAGCTGAAGTAGCAATGGGCCAGCCATATATACGTAGCCCTGATATAGCTTGGACGTGGTGATGATATATTACAGTATAACAGTGGTAGAGCCACGCGGCAGCTTTTGCTGTCGCACGGATGGGCCGGCTCGAACCAGAATAGTACCATGACCTCACAGAAAACCAGCTT